CCCCTACCACTGTTACTGGAGAGGACTGGTGGTCTTTCCATTAGTCCCCTACCACTGTTACTGGAGAGGACTGGTGACATCTACTACACCTGTCTTACTGTCCATCCGTCAAAGTGTTTATCAGACCTCTCTGTCATACATCTAGACATAGAGCTAAAAGTTGATATGAACCTTTAAATATAGAAATGTGATTGTAGACTTTCTTATACCATGGTTGGCAATATTAAGCTGAACATTGGTATGTGGCTTCATCCTAATGGGTTACAAATACAGATTGTGTCACAGCTGATTACTCCTTTTTGTGAGGTTTTACAGCTGTTTGAACTCATATTTTAATACTAATGGTTATCTAGGTGTTTTTTTGCTATGACTAGAGATACTGAGTTAGTTTTTGGCTTCATCATAATAGGTTACAGGACATTTGAACACTACATTTGTTTGCCAGGCTATAACACTTGAATTTTAAACAGTGCAGGTTGGTTTGGATGGATATTCTAACCATTTAAATCTAGGTTGTAATGGTTTGAGTGGAGAGCTCGCAATTTTAACATTGTAAGTTTGATATCTGGATTTCGAACCATTACTATTGAAACACTATAGATCAGTTTGACTAGACACCTTGATATTTGAACCCTTCAGGTCGGATTGGCTGGATATCTGACCATTGACATTTGACACTGTAGGTTGATTATCTATGAATGTTGACATTTGAACACCGAGTTTGATTGTCTAGATATCTATATGTTGACATTTGAACACTGAGTTTGATTGTCTAGCTATCTAAATATTGACATTTGAACACTGAGCTTGATTGTCTAGCTATCTAAATGTTGACATTTGAACACCGAGTTTGATTGTCTAGATATCTATATGTTGAAATTTGAACACTGAGTTTGATTGTCTAGCTATCTTAATGTTGACATTTGAACACTGAGTTTGATTGTCTAGCTATCTTAATGTTGACATTTGAACACTGAGTTTGATTGTCTAGCTATCTTAATGTTGACATTTGAACACTGAGTTTGATTGTCTAGATATCTATATGTTGACATTTGAACACTGAGTTTGATTGTCTAGATATCTATATGTTGAAATTTGAACACTGAGTTTGATTGTCTAGCTATCTTAATGTTGACATTTGAACACTGAGTTTGATTGTCTAGCAATCTAAATGTTGACATTTGAACACTGAGTTTGATTGTCTAGCTATCTTAATGTTGACATTTGAACACTGAGTTTGATTGTCTAGCTATCTTAATGTTGACATTTGAACACTGAGTTTGATTGTCTAGATATCTAAATGTTGACATTTGAACACTGAGTTTGATTGTCTAGCAATCTAAATGTTGACATTTGAACACTGAGTTTGATTGTCTAGATATCTAAATGTTGACATTTGAACACTGTAGGTTGGTTTGGCTGTAGATGATATCAAGGCTGTACAGGAGCAGGCTGCCCTCAAGAGAATGGCTATGCAGGTATCTCACATATATTCATATTCTTTTTAATTACATGCCAAACAAAATTATGGTAACTCACAAATATCATGGATAAAGAATTTACCAGAAAATTAATGTAATAAGCACCATGGTTATTTTTGTTTTGAATTATGACTTTATATTGAATGTGATGGTATTGTAATTAAGCCGAAGGGCCAAGTGAGCTTATGCCATGGTGCAGCATCCATCGTCAACTTTTTACTTTAAACAACTTCTTCTGAATAACCAGGAGATCCAGGCTGATGATATTTGGCCAGTAGCATGCCGGGATGAAGCACTACCAAGTTTGTTCAAATGAATGACCTTCACCCATATTCAAGGTCACAGGGGTCAATTTTTTAAAAACCTTTAAACGACTTCTTCTGTATAACCAAAAGGTCTAGGGTGATGATATTTGGTCAAAAGGATGCTTGGATAAAGGGCTTAAAAGTTTGTTCAAATGAATGACCATCGCCCATATTTAAGGTCACTGGGGTCAATTGTCTAAAAAAAACTTTAAACGTCTTCTTCTGTATAACCAAAAGCTTCAGGGTTATGATATTTGGCCAGTAGCATGTAGGGATGAAGCACTACCAAGTTTGTTCAAATGAAATACCTTCGCCCATAATCAAGGTCACAGGGGTCAATTTTTTAAAAACCTTTAAACGACTTCTTCTGAATAACTAAAGTGTACAGGGTGATTGCTTGTAAATGTGAATGACCTTGACATACTTTCATGGTCACATCTGGTCCATAGTGCATAAATCTTAAAAAGTCATCTTTTCAATAAACAAAAGGTAAAGAGTGGTGATATTTGGCAAGTTGCATTATGCGATGAAGGGCTATAGAGGTTTTTCAACTTAATGTCCATGTTTGACTTTCAAGGTCACAGGGGTCAAATGTGTTTTAATCAATGGCTTTAAGTTAAGACACTGATATTTTGCCTGTAGCGTTATTTTAGTCCTCTTTCAAAGTTACAATTGTGAGATTAATACCAGGTGAGCAATGCAGGCCCATTGGGTTCTTGTTTTAACGTAAGATAACAAATGCTAAGTGGATTAGATAAAATAAGTTATAAGGATTTCTTCATGAATATAAAATGTTGGCAGAATATTTTATATTGCCAAATAACATCTTACAATTTTTTCAGGTTGCACTGGCGCTTGATGTGGAAAGAATTGTTCCTGAATTTATACGAAGGAAATTTGTGACAAAAAAGCAGACAATCAAGCCCAACCAGGGTTTGAAGAATCCGTTCAGTCAACTTGCTAACCTGGAGGCTGGGGATCTGTCATCAGCAGCCATCAACAAGGCCCTCAACCCCGAGCTGGTGAGTTATTACTCAAGCAGTCAAAAAGGACAACTTGATATGAAGTTCGTTAATATAAATGTTGATGTTATGTCAAAAATTGATAAGAAGTATTTTTGATTGATGTTTATATTTAATAGAAGTGGTTGTTTGTTACAGGACGACATAGAAAAGGTACAGGAAGCACAGGAACGGCTCCAGAAGGATGTCGGCAAGCTGCGCTTCTCTGTGAAGGAGATGCGCTCACAGAACACTAAACTGGAGAGTATGATGACAGCACTGCTGACCTCTCAGAACATCAAATGGCAGGAGGAGGACTTCCAGGACACAGAGGAATCTTAGACACAATGGAGGACTCCTAGATATCAGGGTCATCTTAGACATCACTCACAATGGAGGACTCCTAGATATCAGGGTCATCTTAGACATCACTCACAATGGAGGACTCCTAGATATCAGGGTCATCTTAGACATCACTCACAATGGAGGACTCCTAGATATCAGGGTCATCTTAGACATCACTCACAATGGAGGACTCCTAGATATCAGGGTCATCTTAGACATCACTCACAATGGAGGACTCCTAGATATCAGGGTCATCTTAGACATCACTCACAATGGAGGACTCCTAGATATCAGGGTCATCTTAGACATCACTCACAATGGAGGACTCCTAGATATCAGGGTCATCTTAGACATCACTCACAATGGAGGACTCCTAGATATCAGGGTCATCTTAGACATCACTCACAATGGAGGACTCCTAGATATCAGGGTCATCTGGGCCTCAACAACAAAGTCACTCACATGCTTGGCCACTTAGATATTGGGGTCAAACACAAGCTGGACCTCGCTGACATCTGGGTTTCCCACAAGTTTCTCTATGACTGTTGGATAGCCCCAAGCATTTCCTCAATGTCAGGGGAACTGTCAGGGGAACTGCCCTACTTTTCTACCCTGGTCCTGTAGAGTTTTCATATAGAGTTTTACAGAACGAGTCTACTTTTCAAATTTCATTGTATGAAAAGGATGGGAGTAGATTTTTTCAGGAATATCTATTATCAACTAAATGTTAATGAAATACCTTTCAGTGATAAAAGAGACAGTGGATAGAATCTGGATGATTCTATCACCTATAGGATGATTCTATCACCTATACACAGCTCTGATTAAATTGTCTCACAACTCTTCTTACTGGTCATTGTGGAATATCTCCATCTGTTTATCACGATAGTGATTTTATATTGTGATATTTTTATAATTTATTTATAAATATTTCATTATGAATTGTGATTACATTGAAACTTTTATAACATTTTAATTTACCGGGGTAAAGTAGAATTTACTAATTAACATTTTTTCAGGTTGTTTCAGTATTTTTAAAAGCTGATATCTAGTTTAGAACAATTAAAACAGATTATAATTCTGTAGGGTTGCATTACTCACGTGTGTACTTATTGGTGCCTTCAGTTTTTATTGTTAAGATGAGTTCTAGAAATCATCAGTTGTTTAGCATTAAAAAATTGTTAATTAATATGTCAAAAGAAAACATTCAATTTTGAATTATATTCATTAGAATAGACATTTTTAGAAAATAATACATGATATTTTATAACCATCTATGGGAAATTAATTAGTACATGTATACTATAATGATTAAAGAAGACGTTCCTGCACAGTGTTTTGTATAATGGTGATGTTGATACAGCTGATGAACCAAATATATAATTATAGTACATAAAGACAATAGTTATCAGCTTGTAGAGTTCAGTCAACCCCTATTAACAGTCTTAACAGACTCGTACAATCTCTGTATCTTATTCTCTGTTTCAGCAGTCAAGTATTGTAAGTGACATGAGATAGTGTTGTAGAGGGCCCAGAACTTACGGGACTGTACGATTACTAACACTGTTGTAGATAGCCCAGAACTTACGGGACTGTACGATCACGTACACTGTTGTAGATAGCCCAGAACTTACGGGGCTGTACGATTACTAACACTGTTGTAGATGGACCAGAACTTAAGGGACTGTACGATTACTAACACTATTGTAGATGGCCCAGAACTTACGGTACTGTACGATTACTAACACTGTTGTAGATAGCCCAGAACTTGCGGGACTGTACGATTACTAACACTGTTGTAGATAGCCCAGAACTTGCGGGACTGTACGATTACTAACACTGTTGTATATGGCCCAGAACTTAAGGGACTGTACGATTACTAACACTGTTGTATATGGCCCAGAACTTAAGGGACTGTACGATTACTAACACTATTGTAGATGGCCCAGAACTTACGGGACTGTACGATTCCTACCACTGTTGTAGATAGCCCAGAACTTACGGGTCTGTACGATTACTAACACTGTTGTAGATGGCCCAGACCTTACGGGACTGTACGATTACTTACACTATTGTAGATGGCCCTGAACTTAAGGGACTGTACGATTACTACCACTGTTGTAGATGGCCCAGAACTTAAGGGACTGCACGATTACTAACACTATTGTAGATGGCCCAGAACTTACGGTACTGTACGATTACTAACACTGTTGTAGATAGCCCAGAACTTGCGGGACTGTACGATTACTAACACTGTTGTAGATGGCCCAGACCTTACGGGACTGTACGATTACTTACACTATTGTAGATGGCCCAGAACTTACGGGACTGTACGATTACTTACACTATTGTAGATGGCCCTGAACTTAAGGGACTGTACGATTACTAACACTGTTGTAGATGGCCCAGAACTTAAGGGACTGTACGATTACTAACACTGTTGTAGATAGCCCAGAACTTACGGGACTGTACGATTACTTACACTATTGTAGATGGCCCTGAACTTAAGGGACTGTACGATTACTAACACTATTGTAGATAGCCCAGAACTTACGGGACTGTACGATTACTAACACTGTTGTAGATGGCCCAGAACTTAAGGGACTGTACGATTACTAACACTGGTGTTATTGTTATCACCACCCGGGTTGTTTGTAAATAGAACAATAGTTATATCTCCATTATACAGACATTAATCTCCACTAAAAGTTGTTTTATTGGTCAGATCTTGTTTGAACATCTACTGTTGATGACACTATTCGTTGTTTTGTAAATAGTACAAATTTTATGTCTACATTATAAATATATAGTCGTTAAACTTGACTGCAGCAGCTGGTCTCCATGAGTAGGTCACTGGTTGAAGGCCAACGTGGGGCAGTCGCCAGGTATTGGCCATGGGTCGGTGGTTTTTCTCCAGGTTCTCTGGTTTTTCGTCCGCCACCAAAACCTGTTCATCCTTAAATGACCATTGTTGTTATTAGTGTTAATAGAATGTAAAATAACACAAACAGTTAGATGGTTCAGTAGTGCTTTTGACAACAATGATTTGGACTCTCAGAGCATGAATGTTTTCACTTTAATTACACACTTATTTCATTTTAGTAACAATTATGTAAACATTAAAATTGTCTGTTAATTTGTCCTGAAGGTTATGAGGTTTGATACAATCCGATATGATTGATTTCTAATGCTGGACTAACCCGTCTAGACTAAACCTGTTCACTAGTATGTTCACTGTTACCATGTGTACAGGACGGAACTGTGTGTTTGTACTATTTAGTACATTATCAGTATATAATTGATTTAGTACATTATCAGTATATAATTTATTTAAGTGATTCAGTTATGTACATTGCATCCATGCCTTCTTCGTTATATTTCTAATTTTACAAACTCGGACATAATATCAATCTAATTAAAATCATATTTTCACATAAGGGTGATATATCAGTAAACGGGCGCGATGTGAAAATATAATTTTAATTAGATTGACATAATTTATATATTAATTAATGTGATACTCTTGAGTTCTTAAATTAACCTATGTGTTAGATTATGTATGTGTATATTGATGAACAGTAGACAGAGGTATATATAGATATATAATTGTACCGGTATACATCTTTTGCCAACAAATCACAGAGTATTCTAAACTGTCCTTCATACAGAGCTTGAGAAAGCTTAGTTAAGTAGTGGTAGGTTGGGTGTTTCAGTGATTTCTGGTGGAGTAACATGGCTCGGTGGCAGTACACTAGTCTGGTGCTGGGTCTAAGATTTAAGTTGTTGACAGATCACTGCTGATTGTACACCTGTGGCAGGTGTAGTATGCATCTCATTTGTGATTGGGTATGATAGCAAACATTTATACTTTAAACTTGGCAGGTCCATGTATTTCTAGTGAACATTTTAGTTCCTAAAAACAGTAAGTGATTTGATATTAGATATTCACATAGAATATTTTGACATTCAAAATTTTCAAATTTCTTCAGTGGCCAAAATAGAGAGATCACCTGGTTATTTCATGAAAAGTGAATATTTGAAAAAGAAATTACTGTTTTTAGAGTCTTGAATTTTCAGTGTACCAGTGCAGATAGTGTAATTAAAAGTGACACAAACTGAAAAGTATGGACCAAAATTTACCTAGAATTATTCCATATGACTGTTTTAAACTTGATTTTTTTGCTGACTTTTTTACCATTTGATATTATATAAAAAATTACATGCATCACACCACCTCTGTATCACACGCTGTGTAGAGGTCGTCTGTCTTGGTTACCTTATTTTACCGATGATAAACCCAGGTGAAGGGGGCTATATGTCAAACAGAGGTTAAAAAGGGTATTAGACTTGTTGTATAAAAACTAAGTTTTATATTACCATTCAACATGGTGTCCCTGAGGATCAGAGATGCCAGTCTTATCAGAAATACTGCAGCTGTAGTTACTGTGGAAATCCTTCGTTTCAGTCAACCGTTGTTTTACATGGTTGTGACACTTTTTAGATAATTTCTGTAGGATTTGGTACAGCGGTGGTTTCTGTATTCACTCAAAGTAATCATGTTATTTCCGTTAATTTGTAATTAATTGAACCTCTCTTTACTCTGGTCAGTAGCAAATGTGGGTGTGTAATCATTTTAACATAATTATAAAATCTATTTATGACATTTACCATTACCTAGTTTTGGTAAACTATTCATGGCCTGTTTTTAAGTAATTTTCTTTGATAAATGAGATATGCTTATTGGAAAAAAAATCACTTGGTGTTACTGTATTTATTCTGCAATAAGACGAAGGGACCAACATGTAAATTCTGAGGTAAATTATTGTAGGACAATGAAAAATCATTTACTAGCATTTTTACTATTCTGTAATTGATATAGTAGGGCGTATTACCAGGCATGGACTTATTACCAGGCCTGGGCTTATTGCCATAAATATGGCATTCTTTCTACATAACTTATATTCTATCAACTTTTTTTTTTTATCAAATGATAGTTACTGTTATATACAGTTTTGTTCAATATACATAATTTATCATCAAACAATATACAAATGTACTGAGATATTCTTTGTACATAATCTGTGCTCAATGTACTGTCGAGTAAATGTTGGCTTTATCCTCACCTTGGTATATAGATCTATAGATTTCTGGTTTTGTCGTGTATGATCTATGTAAGGGTATGTAACCTCTACAATGCATGTACCAAGGACGATGGAGGAACAGAGTAGGATACAGGACACAATTCTGTCCCAATGTGTTAACGAGACTGTGTTGTAGTTAATCATGCTTGAACTTGTATTTTATTACTCATACTTAAACCATTCTTATCAAAACTATTGTATTCATTTTTAATTCTGACCATTTAGTTATCAAAGCCTATGACCATTATGTAGACCAGACTCTCTGTTTGGGAGATGTGGGAGGCATTGCTTCTAGGATACTGTTACCAATCAATCTTAATACGAAATGATATAAGATAGATGTGGATCGAGAATTTTTAAAGCAGAATGTCTTATCTGTGCCAGTTTACTCAATTAAAAAGTTAGTTCAAAATAATGACCAAAATCCCTGGGATTGGAATGTGTGCACCATGCCCAGATTCACACTTAGGAATGGCCAGTAGAGAATAAAGATCACCCTACATTTTGTTATTTCTGATTCTTTCCTGTCGATTATGTGTGTATTATTGAACAAGAATAATTATTTGGTTAGCATGTTCTGGTTGTCAAGAAATTATAGCTGCTGTGACATTGGCTTGTTTGTGAAATTATAGCTGCTGTGACATTGGCTTGTTTGTGACGTTATAGCTGCTGTGACATTGGCTTGTTTTTGACATTATAGCTGCTGTGACATTGGCTTTTTTTTGGCATTATAGCTGCTGTGACATTGGCTTTTTTGTGACATTATAGCTGCTGTGACATTAGCTTGTTTGTGACATTATAGCTGCTGTGACATTGGCTTGTTTGTGAAGTTATAGCTGCTGTGACATTGGCTTGTTTGTGACGTTATAGCTGCTGTGACATTGGCTTGTTTGTGACATTATAGCTGCTGTGACATTGGCTTGTTTGTGACATGAAAACGAATCATCACATAACAAATGTTTGCCCCAAAAAATACTAAATTAATTAATTGGATGATCTTGGTCACATTGCTTATAGACACTGAAGTAAAAATGAAAGTACATAAAGTATTTCCATGTGATAGAATAGATATAATCAACATATGGTTGTATATTATGATGGTATTTATAACTGTTATAAAAGTGATTAACTCGGCTGAAGAAGCTTTTGTTAAATTATTTTCCTACAACATTTTCTAACTCTTGTTATCTGTTATAAACACACCCATATTTAGATGGATGTTTAATGTGTCCCATCTCTCCCACAGAGAAACAGTAGAACCCCAGGCTTTGGTGTACATTCCTGTAGTGGTAGTCATTTAATAGTTCATTCCTTACTTTTATTTTGTTAATTTGTACGTTTTTCTTACTATTTTGTTACATGTGTTAATTTGTACATTTTTCTTACTATTTTGTTACGTGTGTTAATTTGTACATTTTTCTTACTATTTTGTTACGTGTATTAATTTGTACATTTGTCTTACTATTTTGTTACGTGTGTTAATTTGTACATTTTTCTTACTGTTTTGTTACGTGTGTTAATTTGTACATTTTTCTTACTATTTTGTTACGTGTGTTAATTTGTACATTTGTCTTACTATTTTGTTACGTGTGTTAATTTGTACATTTTCCTTACTATTTTGTTACGTGGTTAGTATTATTAGCTCAGGTTGCAATGTTTTTCAAACTTTTTACTATATGGACCTTTTATGGAAGACTGACCACCTTTAACTCATCACCCCTGATGACACATTTCTTCCAATTCAAAGGTTGGAATAGTTCATTATAAAGTTTCAGGGGTGAATAAGTTAAACTCATCATTCTGTTACTCAATGTGTAACGTTTGCATTTTTCTGAACCATTTTTCAGCAGTATACAGTCTTCTTTTTTTACCATTTTACATCATAATGTATGTAGCTCAAAGGGTATTTTATGAACTTATTTCCATGTTTGTACATGTAGAGGGTTGAAATGCTGTAACAGTCACATGACCTTGAAATGTCAACATAAAATTATCATTGTTTTTGTGTATAAAATGGTTGTGTATTGTTACGTAAAATTACAGTTTTTATATAGATATTTTACAAATTTCTTATTGACATGAAAGGGGAAAATGCAGATCATAAATTTAATTAGTAAAATTTGTAAAGCCGATGAAAGAGAATTATTAAAATTTTCCTGGAAAAAAGTACAAATGAAGTCAACAATACAACACGAGATAAAAACCATTTGTCAGTAGGTGTAGTGGTTTTGTTGTACAATTCTATATTGTTGTGATGATAGGTTAGTAAATGATCCGTGAAAGTAATAAGTCTTCTTCATGAAACCAAAGATAAAGTGCAGATTTTTATGACATAATTATAAGGAGTACGGTAGGTGTTTTGCTCAAAAATAAGGAAATCCGTAGGAGATAGCCTATATAACAACCAGTACCTGATGATGTGTGATTATGTTGGTGTTCTGCTGTCATAATGAGATCAGGAATTCTTTACTAGTGCAATGATATACATATTTACTCTAGACTAGTTAATGTATATTTTGTAGTAGTTTTACGATCAAGATATCATGATTTTAAAAAAATTGGTAAATTTGATATTATGTAGAAATTTGTGAGCCTTCATACAACGTGGATTTTTGTATTGTGTTGATAAACGAGGGACTAATGATGCCAGAGAAGCTGACCTAGCAGTGGTCAGCAGTGGTCAGCAATGAGGAGGGTTGTAAGATCTGATATATTTATGTAGAATTATACCAATTTAATAATATATTTATCCGTTTTGTACTTAATAAATAGACAAATTATCTGAATTGTTGTTCAGCTTTCTTTTCATTCCCGAAACAATTAATACATTCTAGTTGTAAGTTAATATAATTACTCTTGGTTAGAACAGAGACTATAGATATCATATACGTGTCTGGCTAGAAGCCACTGTACTAAGTTTAACTTAATGCGCTAGTCAAAGGAAAAGACAGCATATGTACTCCTACAAAATAAAGTAAATTCTTCGGGAGGTTATATTTTCCTGTGTCACTTATAGAGATCTTGATACTGGGATTAGCTTACAAACTACATTGTAAAGTATTGACTTATAACTGCATTTCCAACTGCTACAACATCCTGGTGATTATCAAACTTCCAACATCCTTCCATTTTCTTCCACTTTCGATGCGTTATGACTAGGTGGGATTACACAACCATAAGCCCACCCCAATTGTTGAGTTTTGTGGTTTGCAAGCACCGTTACAGGTTCGTCATTGCCAATAATTATGGTAGTTATTTTTGTCAGTTTCGTTGGCAACGTACAAACTGACACACTTAACTGTCAAAGGTGAGACTTCAGAATTCCTACAGCAATGCACGACAGTTCAAATATATAATATTACCATTTTCACTATCATGAAATATTTGCTCAAATAATTTTCTACAGAAGTGTTCCATAACTAGCGATGCATTTTGCATCATTTGAACAAATAAACACAAACAAAAAGTGGAACTCGTAACCCATACACTGCCGATCATACATGTTACCGGTGTTACCTTGATAAGGGAAGTAACTCTTATCAAGAAACTATCTTATTTGTAATATTTTTAATTTGTAAGAGCATACTCTGAGATGGAAGAAAGGGCCCTGGAGATAATATTTTAACAAAATCAGTGATACAATCCTGGAAAAAATCTTAAGCAGCTGCAGCATCAAGTGAATTGAGTGTCTCAATATCTGATCTCGCTTGTACTTTTAATTTGTTGCATCAAAGATTGTTGATGCACTATTGTTTCATGATAATTTTTTATGCAAAATTAATGAATGCAATACACAAGGTTATCTAAATAATGACTTTACTATTTTAGCATTGTTAGTTAAGATTATACCCTGCTGATTCTCATATGCTGAGTAGCGCCTATTTGGAACAATCTTCTCTGGTGATTGCCAAACAATCAACTCAATTAAAAAAAAAGGGCCCGTATTCATGCTTGAGCAACTTTCTTGTAACTCACTTGAATCATGTCAAAAGTTCGAAAAGTCATTGATTTGTAAACATTGAAAACAGTATTCATAATAAAGTTTCTACGATTTTTTCCCAAATCATTGATTATTTTTGTTTTAATAACTTATAACCGGAACAATTAGGCTTAGGCTTGAGTGCAAAAGCCATGCTTGAGTATGAGAACGGTTTCATGAATACGGGCCCCAGGATAGATAATATACTTAGCAACTTTTTTCAATTTCCATGCGTACTCAGAATTATAAGACATAGGTAAAATGTGTGTATATATACCCTAGGGAAAATAATACTTTTAAAAGGCATCTTTTGAGCTGTTCTTTCAGATGAAAGCATCAGATCTTAAAAATGGAGATAGTTTAGCATAATCACGGAATTAGATTATCTAAGTCCGTGGCATAATCATTGGTTTGATTTTAGGGTAAACAATCGAGAGCCTCCTATCAAAATAGGGAGAGTCGGCAAATACGGACTAGAAAGACACCGGGCAAAAAAGCATGTCCTTTATGAGGACATTAAAACTCTTATAAGAATCGGCACCTCATGATGTATTTGAGTCCGATAAAGATGACCTTTAGGTCCAGTATCAGAAAACGTATAGAAATCTACATAATTTCGGCGGGTTTATCAGCGTGCCTCCTTGCAAAATGAAAATATCAAATTAAATATTAAGTATACTGCGTTGTCTGTGATGCAAACTAATGTTTCGTATTCCAAGACTGCAGAATGTCTTATTATTGTTTCAATGTGTATCATGTAATTTGACAATCATGATTGTTAAAAAGCAATAACTTAATTTAGTCTTGCTCAAGTCCAACAAAGGGCTTTACTCTGTGGGTCAATACGTGTGTCATAGGCAATTAATCCAAAAGAAGAGATCATGTAATTTCGTTTCTCTCATTTAATTATTATTGTGCGAAAGAACATGATCATTTTCAAGGTTTATTTATTTTTCATTTTTTCCCGCCTGACAAAACTGCAGATCCTACAGCTGTCACTTTGTCATTTCAGAGTCATCTCCCTTCCTCAAGTCTACCGGAAGTGAGAAATAAAATTTTGAAGGCATGGCGGCTGATCTGGCGGTAAACTCGGGTAGGTGTATTCGGCGACACTCTCTGTTTTCATTAAGTAGTGATAACCGTTATATTTTTGTTGTTTAAATCACTTATTGTCATGCTTGCCTTACTGATGTACGTAACGAGAGAGAAAGCTTTGTTTTAATAATCAGCAGACCATTGTGTTGAAGTTTCGTTTTCAAAACAAAACGTTATGAGATGAAAACATCAGAATAGGAAATTATTATAAGTATGGGATCATGTGAATTTTCCTAATTCAGATGAAGGAAAGGATTTGGTCATATGAATGATTGTCTGTAACAGTTTTTTAAAATCAGATTTCAGTAAACAAACTCAAAATTTTGATAACCGAGTGTGAACAGCACCCCCTCCAAACTTCCTTTCTGACATCTTAATTCGTCGTCGACCGCGACAGCTACTAAAACATCAGCATACACATGTCTTTTCATATGTATTAAGGCTTAAAGCATGTGACAGTTAATTTTTGTGTTGTCCATTTGTTTTGCTAAAAAAAATCAGTCTTTAATTCTAATGCCATAAATGGTTATAAATGTATGATTTGATGCTTTCATACTTCTTCATTTTTTTCCCCAGAGGCGCGTCTCTGGGGACCGTTCAAGGAACTAGAGAGGATAATAAATGCTGCGGTCTACAGGAAAAATCCTGATGCCGTTCTTGATCTTGAAGTTGGACTGAAACAACACAAACCACACTTCATATCCCTTTTGAAAAACCCAGTAGGTTACCATGTTTTTTATATTCCCCCTAATTGCTCAACATTTAGTTAACATTTCTTTCTAATGAAAATTCTTGTCCTTCGCTACAGAGGAAGAAAGTGTTTAGAATAATCAAAATTTGAAATATGTTATTTCCGAGGTACAAGTTTGGGGAATAAATGTCCTGTGATTCGGCAGTCATGTGGTATATTATGGGGGGGGGGGGGTTATACTTCCTGTGTAAAAGTAAATTGGTAGCAAACCAACTTCGTCAAAGTAAAAAATTGATAAATTTGGATGAAAATGGCTGAAATTTCATTATCTGCAAGGAATGGATTTCTGCTGACTCAAGTACCCTGATGTTAGACAATGTCATGTAAGTCTAGAACTGCATATCATTTTTTTTGCATACTGTTTAGTGCAACTCTCAGATTTCTGTGTATGCCCCCCTATCATGTGACATGTATTTTTAAAACCGAGTCAAATCTGGAGAGAAAAAGTGTCCCGAAAATGTAGACAAACATATGAAACAATCAGAAAGATACACTAGGGAAATATGGCAATAACAAAAAACAGCTGATTAGTTTGGCCTACAACCTCAGGACATATGTATTACTAACATGTATATCAAATAAGCTCTCTCACCCCTCTTCCCTTGTAAGCTAATTTTATAGTCATATTATAACACATGACGTGACATGTCTAGAAAAAAAACATATGTTTTTATGTATTTTAAAGAACTTGAAAAGTATGATGTGTTAAAATGTAATAATCCTTCTCCTCTCAAATTGTGTGCAGCCGAAAAACACCTTGTGCCGAGATGCAGTTAAGAAGTCGACCACGGTTGGGTTACCTGTCCAGGGAGAGCAGACAAGCCAGACATTCTCCAGTCAGTTCATTGAGGAGGCACTCATCCTCAGTGACCTGTTCACCATGAATGAAGTGGCAGCTGTTGAGCTGCTGACAGAAGGTAAAAAGAGGTTTAGTGATGTCAGCTACATTAGACAGAAGGTAAAAAAAGGTTTAGTGGTGTCAGCTACATTAGATATCTATCAAAATGATTGTTTCAGTGTGTAAGCTAGGAAAGTACTCTGTTAGGTACCTGTATATTTTAGTCTGTAAATTGTCTTTGGCAGTTTTAAACTTTTTCTCTTTTCCAAGTTGAAAAAAACCCTGGTAGATTCAGAAATGTGTAAATCTCAATTTTGATATAGACATTGTGTATGATTGCAGAGAACAGTCTGTTATAGTAATCAAAGATGTAAAAAAAAAACACAGCACAGCTATACATCAGGCTTCTCAAGACTCCTTAATTTGATTTGTTGTTAATACCAAGAACCACGTTTTCATTTTAACACCGAAACTTCTTTGTTAAATATAGAAAATAGTATTCTGTTTGTAATAAAATTTGCATTAACAAATGTTTTGGTGATGCTAGTTTGGTATGACTGTCATAGATTATGATTGAATTTTTTTGTGGTGTTGAGGTGAGCGGAAGAAGGCAGAGTTTCCTGGCCTGACTCGTGGACTTGTAGCTGTCCTGTTGTATTATGATGGCCAGCGTAGCCTGGTCAGTGGTCTCAGGACACTTGTCCAGTCAAGGAAGGGTCGTACCTGGACAATGGAACTTTCACCTGACTTGGCCAATCTGGTCACCCAGTTTACTGACCAACTCATCCAGAAAGATGGTCTTGTCAACAAAGTATTAGGTCAGTATTCTTGGAAACCAAAGGCTGTTTCACCTAACATATTTATCAGTACACAAAATTTACTATTTTCTTGCGAGTTTCTAAAATTTGATATTTAACTAATTCTCTGATGTTGATCCTCTCCATTGATGTGGGTTTTTCTGTCTTCATGGTAACTCAATTGATGTGCTGATTGCCTCCAATGATGTTTGTTCGTCTATCCATGCTTGGTAACTTGTACATTGCTTCATCAATTTGTGGCAGATTTGCTGAATAGACGCGATTCAAAGACTGAGCTGGATCGTCTACAGCGTGACAGAGCCCTGGGCTCCCCCAAACACACCAGACAGGTAAAAGTACCTTTGTTATCAAAATAATTCTTTGCAAATTTCTATTTTAATACTATTTTGTTGAAAATTATTCAAAATAAAATTGTTTAAATATGAACATTAGGACCCTGTATCAGTGATATGGGTGCCCTATAATCATCACTCGGTCTATATGTCTTTCCGTCCACAAATTTTGTTCCCGACTGATAACTTTAGTATTTATTGACCGATTTACATGAAACTTGGTCAAGAAGTTCAGTTCACAAAAATACATACTGAGGTAAAAAGTCAAGGTCATAGGTCAAGGTCATTAGGTCCAGGTCAGATTTTGCATCTTTTCACTAATGAACATTTTGTTATGACATGATGAAGCAAAGTTGATCAGAATTACAATAAGTCAACTGATCAAAAGGTCAAGGTCAAATTTTTGTAGCTTTTCACTAATGAGCATTTTATGACATTATGTAGCAAAGTTGGTCGGATTTAAACAAAGAGACACACTGAGGTAAAAAGTCGAGGTCAAAGGTCAAGGTCATTAGGTTCCAAGGTCAAGGTCAACTTTTGCATCTTTTCACTGATGAACATTTTGTTATGACATGATCAAGCAAAGTTGATCAGAATGAAACAAGGAGGCAACTAACCAAAGGTCAATGGGTCAAGGTCAACAAATTTGTAGCTATTCACAAGCATTTTATGACATTATGAAGTATAGTTGGTCGGAATTAAACAAAGAGACACAATGAGGTAAAATTTCAAGGTCAAGGTCATTAAGTTGAAAAGTCAAGGTCAAATTTTGCATCTTTTCACTGATGAACTTTTTGTTTTGACCTGATTAAGCAAAGTTAATCAGAATTAATCAAGGACTTAACTGACCAAAGGTCTAGGTCACTGGGTCAAATGTCACTGGGTCAAAGGTCAACATCAAATTTAGTAGCTTTTCACTAATGAGTATTTTATGACATTATGAAGCGAAGTTGGTCGGAATTAAACAAAGAGTCAACTGACCAAAGGTCAAGATGACTGGGTCAAATGTCAAGGTCAAATTTTGTATCTTTTCACTCATGATTATTTTGTTATGACACTATAAAGCAATGTTGGTCAGAATTAAACAAGGAGTCAACTGTTCAAAGGTCAAAGTCATACGGTCAAAGGTCAATGTTAAAGTTTGTATCTTTTCACTAGTGAACATTTGTATGACACTTTGAAGCAATACTACTCAGAATTAAACAAGGAGTCAATTGACTAAAGGTCAAGGTCACTGGGTCAAAAAAGTTAAATTTTGTATCTTTTCCCTGATGGAACATTATGTTATGACATTATGAAGCAAAATTGGTCGGAATTTAACAAGGAGTCAACTGACTTAAGGTCAATGTCACTGGGTCATTGTGAAAGTAAAATATTGTATCTTTTTACTATTGAATTTTTTTATTATGTTATTATGAAGCAAAGTTGTTCAGAACTTAACACAGAGTCAACTGACATAAGGTCCAGATTACGGGTCCAAAGGGTCAAGGTCAAGTTTTGTATTTTTCACTGATGAACATTTTGTTATGATATTATGAAGCAAAGTTGGTCGGAATTAAAGAATAAGTCAGCTAACCAAAGATCAGGGTCACTTGGTTAAAGGTCAAGGTCATTTGGGTCCAAAGGTCAAAGACAAAGTGGATCTCTGACTTTGACCCTGGCTCTTGTTGGAGGAGGTATTTAAAGTGAAATAAAACAAATTAAAGCTAACAAATGTGTATTGCACCAGTATTTACATTTCTGTTAGCCCAGCAAATATCAAGGTTGAAGAAAACAAGACTCACATCATAGTACATGTAAATTGTATATTTTGCTTCCTTGCGATTCTTTTTGAAGTCCAAATGTCAAGCTCAGCTATATGGGCAGATTGCTTCTTGATGATTATGGGGGATGTATTGCCACAAGACGGGGCCCTTACTGACCTGTCAGTGTTCTTGTTTCGTTTTGTTTTAACCTGCTGCTTTAGGTGAGAGATATCTACACTGAGATCAACCTAATCCTGGCTGACTGTCTCTTCTGTCTGTCATCCCAACAACCTCTGGACAAGACTAGCACCCTGCGTCTCATCGACCACCTCCGAGGAGCTAACTCAGTGAGCGGAGAAGGTCCACTTGATCTGGTTAACTTGTGTCTTCTCATGGCCCTCCTGTACTGCTTCGACGTTAGTGTGCTGGAGCAGGAAGATGCAGAGGGTAAGGAAATCTCTGAAGACCAAGACAAATCTTAAATTATAAATGTTCTTTTTTCTGACCATAATTGATTAAATTCTCAAAAATTGGGATATTCTTTATCTAAAGTTGAATATATAAGTCATTTGCATTTGCTACAAGATTTTCTGTTTTGTGATCTTTCCTTATCTAGAGTCTGTAAAGAACCTGCCACTGATGAATGACGCTAGTTATGTTGGGGAGATACACCAAGCCTTGACCGGTGGTCAGCAGTGGACCAACATGGGCCTTAGAGGTATAGCTCAGTTTGCCTGGGGACTGACCCTCCGACAGCTGTCGCAGTACCACACCCCCGCAGGTAAACCTGATGTAAAACATTGTCTCCTGTCAGCAGTTATCTTCAAATCATTTGATAAGTAAATACATTGTGGTAATATGGAATCAAAACATTTTAACTGAATTACTGATATCAAAGGCTGTTGTATAACATTAAATAATATGACATGTCAGTGTCATATTGTCAGTATTTAAACTGTTTACTTAATACTTTATAACAGAACATGTAAAGATGAGTCATTTCTGATAAGAATGCAGCTTCTCTCAAATCAAAGATGTATTAAATCTGTCCATGGCAAACAATGAATGATTCACATCGATGGAATGATGATTGTTAGGCAGGGATTATCATGTATTTGAGGAAATGGGCTCAAAATTTTGAAAAAGTTATTTTCAAAACTAGGAAAATTCGAAAATATTAAGTGTTGATTTATTGTGAAATGATACGCATTGTAAAAATGATCTCCATCGTGAAATTGTTTTACCTCTAAAAATGTCTTATGTACTATAATTTATATAATTCATAAATTATGAGAAAGGACAGACCTTAAAATGGGGGTGGGGGGAGGGGCAATCAATCCCTGTGAAAGTGCATTCAAAGTCTTTGGGGTTCACAGTATATTACAGTAAGACAATTATTCGATTGATTTTATTGAGCATGATTTGTTTATAAATCTTCCTTAGGTGTAAACAAGATTTGTGAGGAGGACGAGAGCCTGATCACCATGGCCCTGGACAACAACGTGTTCCACTATATGATCAGATCAGTGGTGGCAGTATCGGACTTCCACAGCGAAGTGAGTATTAGTTAATTAGGATTTACCTTGTATTCATGTCTTCAGTCAGAAACATTCTGGAACTCCCCATCTTGTTTTGTCTGATTAAATACATGCAGTGGAAAATGATGTTGATTGTTTTGTCTTTTACAGGAGTTTTACATGAGGAAGATACACGGGCTACTGACAGACTTTATATTCCATATGCCTCTGAAGGTAAATAATGTAACATTGTCTGTGATAATGAAATACATATCAATGTCTGCGATAATGAAATACATATCAATGTCTGTGATAATGAAATACATATCAATGTCTTTTCAAATATGATTTCAAACTTGGCTTTTGGTGAATATTGTGAATAATTTGTTTTTTGTTTCCTAGGTAAAAGAACTACGTAACCGTAGTGATGAGGCGGCGAGAATCCTTATGTCTCAGACACAGGACGGTCTAGACACTACTATCTCCCCCAACAGGGGTTTCGAATACCTCCTCCAGCTGGTAAGATCTTCTTGAAATTGTGTATATCCATACGTCTGTTACCACGTGCACCCTGTCTTTCTATGTCCTGTTGAGTATTTAGTATGACTCAGAGCTGTGTATAAAGCTGTGTGCTGGTCGGTAATGTGTTCCCATGTTACTGTATTGTTACAGATAGGAGATCTCTACAACAAGGATCCCCAGGGCCTGGATCTATGCCTGGAGTACTGGTGTCCACAGGAGGCCCCCACCCTTCACGAGTCCATGTATCACTACCGGCCTCCACAGAGACAGGTAAAATTGTATACCACTCAAGTTCCCCCCCCCCCCGCAATTCCTTAAACCCAAACTACTGCTGGGCTAAACCATTTCCCACTATGCGCACACAGGGATTTTCCTACAGTAGAATTTGGGGCCGAATAACAGCCCCTTTCCCCTCGTAAAATCTTGCTAAAATTCCCAATTTGCCATTGAAAAATTCCCAATTGGATGGCCATTTTTGCAAGATTAAAATATGCTCAGGATGGAGAAGGAAGATGTAAAAACATTCATGTCCGTAAGAAAAGTAAAAATGTATTTTAATCCCTTGAAAATTACATCTCAAAAGTATACATCAGAATGTTGTTGTAAAACTTCGCTATTTTAGTCTCGCCTGTGTGATTAAACTTGAAACAATAATTTACAACATGTATTACTCGAGAAAGTGATACTAGTCATCAAAGAAGCAATCTCTGTAACTAATTCAGTATCTTTTATCTAACAAAAGAATCCTGATAAAGAACTGAAGTTTATCAGTCCAAAAGTCAGCATTGTGATAAACATGCTGTCGGCCATGTTTGTTTTTCTAATAAGGGAACCAACATTCGGGCACAGAATCAGGAAATGATCTATTTTATTTGTCTGTTCAATTTCAGTTATTACTGTCTTTTCTTCTTTTTTTTTTACATTTAAATAGGTTTAGATAAATAAATGACTTTAAAATTAAAGTTTTCCTTTTAAAAGAACAAAGGACAAATATCATAACTACCGTATATATTTGATATAGTATAATAAAATAGTAACAATACATTCTGGCTATCAGAATTTTTTACAAGCCTATACTAAATGTACTAGAGTTTAACTGTAGCTTAAGCTTATGCATTGAAAAATAAATAAGAAATTCAAATATCAAAGAATGCAATTTCTCATGATAAGAAGTAAAATTTATTAACAGAAAATGGAAAAAAGTATGAAATTTTATTTCCCCTAATTTTCCCCCAATTTCAAATTTTACCGCATAAAAATTCCTAACTCATTGAACCATGGACCCAGAAAAAAAATGGTAGGAAAATCCCTGGCACACAAAGACAGGTAATCAAAACGTCAGCATTTAGAGATTTCTTAAATCATAAAAGATTCGTGGAATTCCTAGCTAGGAACTTTACGATTTTGAAATCTATTCTGCAGGTGGCATTGTATAAATTTGTGCGACTGGCAGGTGACCTGCTACCGTCATTCCTGTACCAGCCATACATCAATATGCTGATTGGTCTGTGTAGTAACCAGCAGGGGGCGCACCATTGCTTCGACCTTCTCAAGAGCAACGGTATGGGTTCAGGTAAGTTTTCACCAGATATCGTATTATCATATAGTTTCTGTATTTCAGAAATCATAATAAGCAAGAAATTCTGTAAGACTAAATAGGGGATCATATTGTTAACAAAACACTGTTGTAACTTTCTTTGGGACATAGTTCACAAGATTTCCATACAACCATTCGATACATTTTCAATGTTTTAATATAAAATATGTATTAACAAATAATTAAAACACGTAATCAATTCTTCTTGGTAAGTTTGGGAAATGTACATCTCGTGATAATATTAACAGTTCTGTCCTCCACATGTGACTCTGTTGTAGGCGGTCCAGCCAGCTCTGTTTCCTGGAACCACATCTTTACCTCCCTCAACCAGTACTACACCAGTCTTAGAAGAGAGGCCCCTACATCTGCTGATTCTTCTCACCACCAGAGGGCACCACACCTACGGGGCATTACTCCGGCAGAACTAGACGGCCTTGTCACCGTCCTTAAACTCACACGCACCATAGCAGAGCAGGTAAACAATCGATGCACAGGGTTTTGTCAGGTCTTAAAACTCACACAAACAATGGTTTAACAGGTAAACAATTACAGTACATCGTAATATAGTTTTGTTTCCATCTTAAAACTAGCAGTAGAGTACAGCAAAGGACCTTATCACTATCCTTCAACTCAAATAGTCACCATAGCAAAGCTGGTAAATAATTGGCAAGTACTTTAAAGAGTTGATCACCTGATATCGCTGTATTGCCCTGTATGAGATTGTATAGTGTATGAATATGACTTACAGAATGAGAACTGCTGTATTGCCCTGTATGAGGTTGTATAGTGTATAAATATGTTACAGAATGAGAACTGCTGTATTGCCCTGTATGAGATTGTATAGTGTATAAATATGACTTACAGAATGAGAACTGCTGTATTGCCCTGTATGAGGTTGTATAGTGTATAAATATGTTACAGAATGAGAACTGCTGTATGGCCCTGTATGAGGTTGTATAGTGTATAAATGTGTCTCACAGAATGAGAACTGCTGTACCGCCCTGTATGAGGTTGTATAGTGTATAAATGTGTCTCCCAGAATGAGAACTGCTGTATCATCCTGTATGAGGTTGTATAGTGTATAAATGTGTCTCACAGAATGAGAACTGCTGTACCGCACTGTTTGAGGTTGTATAGTGTATAAATATGTTACAGAATGAGAACTGCTGTCCCGCCCTGTATGAGGTTTATAGTGTATAAATGTGTCTTACAGAATGAGAACTGCTGTACCGCCCTGTATGAGGTTGTATAGTGTATAAATGTGTCTCACAGAATGAGAACTGCTGTATCGCCCTGTATGAGGTTTATAGTGTATAAATATGTTTCAGAATGAGAACTGTCGTATCGCCCTGTGTAAGGTTGTATAGTTTGTTATATGTTACAGAATGAGAACTGCCATATCGCCCTGTGTAAGGTTGTATAGTTTGTAATATGTTACAGAATGAGAACTGCCGTATCGCCCTGTGTAAGGCTGTATAGTTTGTAATATGTTACAGAATGAGAGCTACCGTATCGCCCTGTGTGAGGTTGTATAGTTTTTAGTTTGTAATATGTTACAGAATGAGAGCTACCGTATCGCCCTGTGTGAGGTTGTATAGTTTGTTATATGTTACAGAATGAGAACTGCCGTATCGCCCTGTGTGATGTTTATAGTTTTTACTATGTTACAGAATGAGAACTGCTGTATCGCCCTGAGTGAGGTTGTATAGTTTGTTATATGTTAAAGAATGAGAACTGCTGTATTGCCCTGTGTGAGATTGTATAGTTTGTTATATGTTACACAATGAGAACTGTCGTATCGCCCTGTGTTAGGTTGTATAGTTTGTTATATGTTAAAGAATGAGAACTGCTGTATTGCCCTGTGTGAGATTGTATAGTTTGTTATATGTTACAGTGTATTGCCCTGTATGAGATTGTATAGTTTGTTATATGTTACACAATGAGAACTGTCGTATCGCCCTGTGTGAGGTTGTATAGTTTTTACTATGTTACAGAATGAGAACTGTCGTATCACCCTGTGTGAGGATGTATAGTTTGTTATATGTTACAGAACGAGAACTGTCGTATCGCCCTGTGTGATGTTGTACAGTTTGTTATATGTTACAGAATGAGACCTGTCGTATCGCCCTGTGTGAGGTTGTATAGTTTTTACTATGTTACAGAATGAAAACTGTCGTATCGCCCTGTGTGAGGTTGTATAGTTTGTTATATGTCACAGAATGAGAACTGCTGTATCGCCCTGTATGAGATTGTATAGTTTGTAATATGTTACAGAATGAGAGCTACCGTATCGCCCTGTGTGAGGTTGTATAGTTTGTTATATGTTACAGAATGAGAACTGCTGTATTGCCCTGTATGAGATTGTATAGTTTGTTATATGTTACAGAATGAGAACTGTCGTATCGCCCTGTGTGAGGTTGTATAGTTTTTACTATGTTACAGAATATAAATGTGTCTCACAGAATGAGAACTGCTGTATCGCCCTGTGTAAGGTTGTATAGTTTGTAATATGTTACAGAATGAGATCTGCTGTATCGCCCTGTGTAAGGTTGTATAGTTTTTACTATGATACAGAATGAGAACTGCTGTATCGCCCTGTGCAAGGTTGTATAGTTTGTTATATGTTACAGAATGAGAGCTGCTGTATTGCCCTGTATGAGATTGTATAGTTTGTTATATGTTACACAATGAGAACTGTCGTATCGCCCTGTGTGAGGTTGTATAGTTTTTACTATGTTACAGAATATAAATGTGTCTCACAGAATGAGAACTGCTGTATCGCCCTGTATGAGATTGTATAGTTTGTTATATGTTACAGAATGAGAACTGCCGTATCGCCCTGTATGAGATTGTATAGTTTGTAATATGTTACAGAATGAGAACTGCTGTATCGCCCTGTGAGATGTTTATAGTTTTTACTATGTTACAGAATGAGAACTGCTGTATCGTCCTGTGTGAGGTTGTATAGTTTGTTATATGTTACAGAATGAGAACTGTCGTATCGCCCTGTGTGAGGTTGTATAGTTTTTACTATGTTACAGGATGAGAACTGCTGTATCGCCCTGTGTGATGTTTATAGTTTTTACTATGTTACAGAATGAGAACTGTCGTATCGCCCTGTGTGAGGTTGTATAGTTTGTAATATGTTACAGAATGAGAACTGCTGTACCGCCCTGTATGAGGTTTATAGTGTATAAATGTGTCTCACAGAATGAGAACTGCTGTATCGCCCTGTATGAGGTCTATAGTGTATAAATATGTTACAGAATGAGAACTGCTGTATCGCCCTGTGTGATGTTTATAGTTTTTACTATGTTACAGAATGAGAACTGCCGTATCGCCCTGTGTGAGGTTGTATAGTTTTTACTATGTTACAGAATGAAAACTGCCGTATCGCCCTGTGTGAGAACCAGCAGTGGTCAGCTGTGATGATCATGTTCGGACTGGTTACCTGTAGCATCCCCTCTCCTCTCAAGGCGGAGCTGTTCCGTACCTTGGCTGCCTTCGCCCGGTCACCAGATATTGCTGCCAGTCTATGGCAGACCCTTGAGGTGTCTCAGGTGTGTAATAGATAGGATCATGACTCAGGCCTGTAAACATGACAATGATTAATTCTGGTGTTCACATAGTAATTATTAACTCTTTGTAAGTTAAAAGGATAAAAATTAATCTGTTTTGTAAAAGTAGTCACAATTACTCTGATAACATGATTAAAATACCTGTAAACAGAGTTTATAATAAACATAATCCCCATCATTAAAGTACACATGTTGATGATCATTGGGGGGTTGAAATATTTGATGTAGCGTGGTGAAATCCTTTTAAAGGAAAAATCTGTACAATTTCAACACCAATCTGATGAAGTCATCACTAATGCTGTGATGCTGTTTATCTTTTTCCTTTTTAAAACTTTATAGGAACAAAGAAAGCGTATCTTGTCTAATTAGTTGTTTTTAATGGTATTAAAACTTAATGTGTTTTCAATATTCATAAAGAAAAGCTCTTTGCTAGATTTGATGAATAAACGGTTGCAAGATTTGTTGTAATGTTTTGTGATATTTGGTTGTTTTTCTAGATACTGCCTACAATCCAGTCAAAGGGTGCGGGAGGAATCCAGGTACAGGACTTTCTCTTTGTTGTCTATTATTAAGGCAGATAAAGTGTATGGGAAAATCGATGGTCAGTTTTTGTTTTTTCTTTCTTGTACCAGGTAATGTGCCCGACTCATTATAAATACTTCATAACATATAACATTGGTTTTGTTTATATCATTACTGCTTATTGAAGCTGTTAACATTATATGCAATGTGTGTATAGAAATTGAGGAAGTGCTGTGCTGAAACTATTTCTAGGTGTACTTGTTTTAGAAATTCAGATATGGTTGTCTGATTTATTAGAGGTTAGATGAACAAAAATCTGCTGAGTCTAAGAACCTAGTGTGTGGTATAACGGTTGTCTCATGTTTTAGGTTGAGTTGGACGAGATTGAGAGTCGTAACGAGGAGTACCCGATGATCCAGGGGTTCCTGGCTCTGATAGACACTCTGACAGATATTCCTGTTCCTGCGGGTCTCGGGGCGGGGCTCAGGGCCCCAGGCTTCGACCCCTACCTTCTCTTCCTTAGGGACTCAGTTTTCCTCAGGTTTAACTCCAGAGCTTACAAAAACCCAGGGGAAAAGGTAATATGTCATTTTGCTGTTATTTTATTGAAAATGTGTCAATTGTGTTTACAGTATGAATCTATGTGTAAACCAATTTTATTTGTTAATTTGCTGATTATATCAAAAATTTTAACTGATTTTTGAGTATATTTACATAGAAGTAATGACAAATATGAGACAGTTATGTATGTATTTCAAGATTAATGATGTTCACTACACTATCAGTTGAAGCAGCATCATGGTTGTCATAATTACTATGCAGTGCATCGATTTTTGTTTTTCTGTAATTGTTGAATGAGAAATGTTCACCAGAGATATTCTAGTATTTTACATAGAAATATTAAAAACTTTATCTATAATTGAAACCAGATTCTTGTGTACAACTATAATTTTGTTAATCAAACATCACATATCAACTGAACTTGTAAAATTGCTATAAGTATGATGCTTGTAAATGCTGTTTGTGATGCGCGACCTTTCCACTGCAGTGGGAGATAGCTGCGTCTGTGTTGAACATCCTCAGTAAACTTTTACGTGAACATGAGATCGTTCCTGAGGACTTCGTGGACGAGCTGATAGAGGTACAATCAGGAGGAACAGTAGTGGCCAACAAGTCTGCTGGTCACACGCTGCTGGTCTACATGCTCAACGACTCCAGCTTTCTCCGCATGGTAAATATTATATCAAACAAAAGACCGTATTTGTTATCATGTATACAGTGTGTGGCGCAAAGAAAATGTCTCAAATTTTGTGGAAAATATATTTGATGCACTTGGAATCTGTCATAGTTTGTCATTTCATCACAGAATTGATGGCAAACATAAAAATATCTGTTGTATTCCATGAAATTATCACCTAGTGAAATATTTGACTTTCACCTGTAAGATTCATATTCAGCCAGCGTTAATTTGTATTATGTATATTAAGCTATGTACTAATATTAACTATCGTGAGGAACATCATTACACAGAGCAATAAAGGTAAAAGTAAGCCTGTGGTACTTTACGTTTCCTTCTACAGTAAAACCTATTGGCGGCTCTCACTCACTAGTAATTTCCAATTCCTCGTTTCGTTCCATTTGGGTTTTAATTCCTTGGGAATTTTCCCCCCAATACTTTTCTGTAATATTATTTATTTATCTGTTGATTATTTTACTGCTTTTGCTTTAATTTTTCTGTCTATTCCTGATTCTACTAGGCTCTTGAATCGCTCAGGAGTTTCGTCTTGCCAGCTCTTAAATCGCTTAAGTCTGGTGGTCAGTTTGCCTCTCTTGAATCGCTCAAGGCAAAGCTCTCTGCTTTTAAATCGCTTAAAAGCTTTCTTTACTACTTATATTTATGAGTATCTTATATGCAGCTCTTGAATCGCTTAAGGGTTTGCTCTAGATATCTAAATGTATACTTTCTTGAATCGCTCAAGAATTTTCTATCTTATATGCAGCTCTTGAATCGCTCAAGGGTTTTCTTTAGATATCTACATGTATACTGTCTTGAATCGCTCAAGAACTTTCACTAGATATTTACTTTCGGCCTGTCTTGAATCGCTCAAGAGTTAATTGTCTGGCCTACTTAGAATATATTTTTTGTTTTTCCTTGTGGCCTCTTTCTTTGCTTAGGAGGCTACCTCGTCAGTACATGTTTGTTTTTGTAGTATTGTATATAGTTAGCTTATTGTGTTGAGTGAGTAGCCCCTGATACGCCAAAGTATAAGTTTGTATTTTCTTTTATCTTGCTATCTGCCTCATTTAAATATCTCGAATTGTAATAGACAGGTAAACTGTTGTTTCATCGTTTTTGTTGTGTATAAATATTCACTTGTCACCTCACATACTGCCAATATACTTGTAATTCCCATTTGCCTTTTTAGTATCCTCTATGTTGGCATTATAACGAGGTTATACTGTATTGGTGTTGTGACCAGGAATCGAGGTGTTGTTTCCCAAGGTATTTTAGCTCACATGATATCAAGATGTACTGAAAACTTAGGTAGCTGATAGACTGTACGGTTGTTACAGATTCTGAGGATACTGGACGACGTCATCAACCAGCTGGAAACCTACACGGACATCCCAGGTTTGTTTCATCATCCTCAGACACTTAAATGATTAAAAACGTAAAATAGACAAATATATATATTACAGTGCTTTTGGGCATAATTATGACATTCACTTCAAGTTCAATTGTTAAATATTAAGTGAAACATGTAGTGTAAACTTGCCTGGATAGTTATTATTCAACCATCAAAGATCATTTGATGTGACTTGAAGTGAACTTGCATTACACCAAAAAAGGTGTGTATTGTATTATGTAAATATGATGTTTACCTCAAAGTCAAAGGTTACATAAATGATCACCTATCACTATCATCTTACGAGAGTGTTAGACACTGTAATCTTGGCATTGTGTCCGCTGTCTTCAACACTACATGATGAGATACATTAAATATGTTTATTATATTCTGATGTAACAACAATTATTGAGGGAATCAATCAAAACATGACCTGAGTTTATTCACCACATAATACTTCAATAATTTATGTTATGTAATCTGTATCGGCTTGTATATTGTGAAATAAAGGTTCTTTTCTTTGTCAGGCAAGGCACTGATGGAGCGGACAGCGTTACTGTGTCTCCGAATGATTGAGTACACTCTAGAGAAAGCCGACCAGTTTGTGTCTGCGTGTCGGGAGACCGGAGCCTCCATCATGGTCGTCTCCATGGATCGACTACTGTTGGGGATCAATCCTCGTACAGGCAAACCTGACCACCTTGTCAACATAGCAAAGTAGGTGCTCTTTGTTAACATAAATAGCTCTGGATATCCACTGTAAATGTAACAAATGGGTTTAGGTATACATAGCGATAGGGTGAAGGAAAAATTGTATCATCTAAGTGTAAAATTTACCAAGTGCAAACTGTCTGTTTAGTCCATTACATGATAGTTACAATGTCATCTGTCCGGGTCAAAAGATGAGCATCCATACAGGATCATTCATGTTTGAAAGTCTCACGACATTGAGGCTTACATAATAATGTTTGGTGGAGTCTGGTGTAACACTGAGGCTTACATAATAATGTTTGGTGGAGTCTGCTGTAACACTGAGGCTTACATAATAATGTTTGGTGGAGTCTGCTGTAACACTGAGATTGACTTACATAACAATGTTTGGTGGAGTCTGGTGTAACACTGAGGCTTACATAATAATGTTTGGTGGAGTCTGCTGTAACACTGAGATTGACTTACATAACAATGTTTGGTGGAGTCTGGTGTAACACTGAGGCTTACATAATAATGTTTGGTGGAGTCTGCTGTAACACTGAGACTTACATAATAATGTTTGGTGGAGTCTGCTGTAACACTGAGGCTTACATAACAATGTTTGGTGGAGTCTGCTGTAACACTGAGGCTTACATAACAATGTTTGGTGGAGTCTGCTGTAACACTGAGGCTTACATAATAATGTTTGGTGGAGTCTGCTGTAACACTGAGACTTACATAATAATGTTTGGTGGAGTCTGCTGTAACACTGAGGCTTACATAACAATGTTTGGTGGAGTCTTCTGTAACACTGAGGCTTACATAATAATGTTTGGTGGAGTCTGCTGTAATACTGAGGCTTACATAATAATGTTTGGTAGAGTCTGCTGTAACACTGAGATTGACTTACATAATAATGTTTGGTAGAGTCTCGGATGTTTGACTGCTTGCTTTATGGATCTGTTGTACAGGACAAGATTATAACCTATGATTGATTATTGCTGTGAATCTTTATAGATACATCACCTTCGGCACGTTCCTGCCCTATCATGCCCAGGCAGCTATGACGGTCCTGTACCGGGTGTGTCGTACAGCCCCCATACAGACTAAGCTTCTCAATCTCTTCACCGCCGATCAGGTAACACATTGCTTCTGTTTTAGCACTTTCATTATACAGTGTCAAATTTGAACAGTTTTAATCTTTGAAAAATAATTGTTGAAGTTTTAATTCTATGCGACACCATTAATAGCTATTAACGGTTAACATTCGTGTCATGACGTATCAGTGAAGTGGTAAGTAATTTGCCGGAGATGTTGCAATTAGCTGTTTTCTAAGGCTGCTTGTTTGTTACTTAATTAGTGAAAACTACTGCTATGGCCAAATAAAATTAATTACTTGGTTCTCAGGCCAATTTTTTAGCTCACCTGGCCCGAAGGGCCAAGTGAGCTTATCCCATGGTGCAGCGTCCGGCGTCTGTCAACTTTTTCCTTTAAAATGCTACTTGTCCTGAATGGCTCAGAGGATTTTGACCAAATTTGGTCAGGAGCATCATTGGCCAAAGGGTTCTCAGTTTTGTATAAACGGAGGGTATAACCCCCCTGGGGGCAGAGGGGCGGGGCCAAATAGGGGGAAAATAGGTAAATCTTTAAAAATCTTCTTCTTCTCAACCAATAGAAG